GTCAAAAAGTCTTTTCTCTTGGTATCTAAACTTTTCTACAAGACAAAATAGAAGTGCTCACTCAAATCTTCTAGAACTTCTCTAGTTATTCCGCCAAGTATAGACATCATAGCTAAACTAGCTAGACTTAGTCATAATCAACTAGATTTAGTCATAACTATCCTAACCATGATTCACTCCTTAGCAAATTCTAGTTTTATTTTACACATGCAATATCTGGTCTTACAGCATCGGACCTGCCACATCGCTGCGAATAATCTTTGCACTCGGCGTGTTTTGGCACATGACCGCGGTACTTATGCACCACTATTTGTCTTGTCTAGGGTAAAAAAATTTGAGGACGGTTACATTCCAAACAACTACGACTGTTTTGTCATCTTCAAATCACCACTATGTATATTACTTTGGCTCCACTAAGGCAATTGCTTGGACTCAAAGATTTCTTTTTTTGGTTCCAACAACAAAACGTCGTCTTGTCAGCAAAAGTATTAAACAACTCGACAAAGGTAGTAAAGTTCCTCACTATAAGTTCCCACCAGGAAAACTTGTATCGCTAAATAACTGGCGATCACTAGCATCAGACAGCAAATCAGTGCAAACCCCCTGTCTAAAAGCAAAAGCAAGATACTCACACTAACATTCTTCCCAACTTTGATAACACTTTCTGAAGGAGAATTACCGACAAATGACAATTACATAAACACTCAAGAGTACACAAGACAAGTACACAAGAGTACATGATTCACCCATCAAGGGCTACGTCCACGGGCAAAGTATAATGAACTTTGATAAAATATGTTCCAAGGATCGAACAGACGAGTGACTTGGGATTTAAATACCACAGTCCCAACCAAGTACAGACGACCATGATTAGAAGGTTCCTTCCAATATAGAATTAACCGAAACAGAAAATGCTTTGATGATTGAAAGATTATATTAAGAGCTATTGTATTATATATCATACTCTGAATCTCATATATTGTAAAGTTTTTTTTATGATACTGATCACACACTCACTAAAGTCATTGCTAGTTGCAAATGTAGAGTAAATACAAAGTAAAAAACATACATCATAATTTTGTAAAAAATTATGATGAATCAAAATATTTTTTGACCAATATGACTTAGGATTTTCAATAGTAGTATGACCTACTTAAATAACATCATAAAACCAGAAACATGCATGCAAAACTCAACGAAGCATAGTGGGAAATAGATTTTTTGACCTTTTTGACCTCTTCAAACAATTATTCTATTGAAAAATTTTGGCCGTAGATTCTCAATATCAAATGCTTATATTATTATGCAAATTGATATAATATATTACAATATAAGTTTTGAACTTGATAAAAGTCATGAATTTGATCAAACATAAGGTATCTCGCATCATGTATAATTACAATATGATATATAAATTTTTGAAATATTAATTCTATAAGAGTTGAAATAAAAGGTTTAGATTTTATCCTACATCAACATGATATGATGTATGTTTATTATTTTGAAGTAAAACACCTGATGAATACTTGCTTATTTTTTTGTCATCTATGTTGTGAAACATATATAAGATTATGATATAATCAGATATTAAATGATTATCTGTCATTATAATTTTCATGAGGTCGTTTCTTTATCATTATTTTTTATCTATGCTTAAATTTATTTTTCTTGATCATCCTTGTGAAAATTTTTTATGTGATATGGAATAAAATTAATCAGAAATTTTATAAGAATTTATCACGAATAGACAACATAAAAAAATTTAGCTTTTAAACTTTCAGTATAAAAAAGTTACTTGAATATGTACACTGTCCATATAGAATCCCTTTCATAAATTTTTATCTTTATATTTTTATTTTTACTCTATTTCATTTATTGACAATTGTCAAATTGTTTCTTAGGTTTTTAGTTTCACATAAAAGGGTAAGTTTTCTATTCAAACTCCACAAATTAAGAGATTCAAGTTGATATTTGAAATATAATAGTATAATAGTTTCAATTTTCAGTTATAGATATATCTTCTCAATACTAGAGATGAGATACACTTTTGAGTAATTTAGAAAGAATTTCAAATAATCATGGGTCATTCTACCACAATTTACACTGTGCAGCATGTTCTTCCGGGGATTTTTTAACCAAGGAGTATTCAAATGAATGCTTAGTATGTTGGGTACCAGAATTGGATGTGAAAAGAAAGTAAAAGAGTATCATCTAGAGTCCGAGGAGGAGTGTATTTGATTCACATGCGTGAAAGCTAGTTTTCCATACGTTGTGATAATCATACGTTGTACTCAAAATTTTTTTCCCAACAGTCAAGGAGTTGTTTACTTGATTTTCTTGGGTCTGATATATCTTGTAAGAAAAAGACTTCATCAGGCCTGGATTAGGTTTTCGCGCAGCATGGGGTTATACTTTAGGGTCTGATGGTTAACAGGAAATTTCATTGTCAATTGACTTAAGAATGCTTTCGATTAATGGTTGTCTGGAGGAGATGTGGTTTAGAACTGCCAGCAGTCAACGTTATTGACCCACGTCAGACTGTTGGGTTTGTCATCAGGCATGTGGGTGGCCTGAAGGGTCCTCTGGTCATCATCCGCGGAATAATGTATATCGTAATTCGCTGCAGTCTCTGGGTTTGTTCAAAGACATAGAATCTGGTGGATTTCATGGGATGATAAGCTTCAGTTTAATATTTTAATTGCGCTTTGTATATGGGTTTTACTGCAAAGAAGACAACAAGTTAAGAACTGTGTTTCCAACAGTAGGCCACTGGCTTCTAAAGGTAGTGACCATGCAATGGTCTTCGTTTAAAGATCAAAGTTTAAATTTCTAATGTCAAAAGAGGAGCAACAGAAACAAGGATAACCATCAGCATGGTCGTCACAACTCAATGCAGAAGAAGAGTAGGTAGTGGTCATACAAATCTATACAATCGATTTTTATTTTGATATGTTATGCATTTAGATTAAACTTCATGAGATGTATATATTTTCTAAGTAACTTATGTCATACATCATTTTGACAATAAATGTTTGTGAATTTCTTTTATTAATATAAAAATTGGGTATATAGGATGCATAAAAAAATTAATTTTTTTATACACGTCTAATGACAATCTATGCAAACTACCTAAATTCCATATTTAAAATGCAAAATTAGGGCTTAAATGACCAAAAAAATGATGTGAAAATGAAAATAATTCTTCATTTAAATATATATCTTAATATCTTAAGGTTTTTTATGAAATCCATATTCATTCTTGATGAAGAATTATGAACATGTTAGTTGCAAGGAATAACAACTGGATAGAATAAGCTAATGATAAAATTAGTTTTTGTACTCTATGATTATTCTCATCGCTGACAAACATGTGGATAATTTTATATAATTGGTACTTCATTTTCAACTATAAAGAAGTTTCCGTCTAAGCCCCCTGACAACTTTCTGCCATCTGTTCTATATACATCTAATAGAGACGTGTAATGCTTTATCACATTCTCAACACTAGGTAATTCCTTCAATATGATTTAGAACCGTCCGTCAAGTGTGGTTTATGCTCTGCAACGTACAGCTTAGTAAAGATCGAAGAATCTTGACACCCATTCACAACAATGAGATCTTTGCTTCTAATGGTTTCAGATCTTTTTGATCAAGAGTTTGTTTTGTTGTGCTCACAAACTTTGACCAACCAATCTCTGACTTGGTTCTTCTGCTTCTTTGGAAATTTTATCAAATGTGTATCTCCAGAACCATCAAACCTTCTCTAGATCTGAAGCTGCCACATGAGTAGTTCCACTATTCACTCGGACCTCTAGTATAGGCTATCAGAAAGATGGAAAAAGTAAAAGCAAAGCTTCAAAAGGCAAGTAGAATCCTCCAACTTAGTGCTTCAATGATCCTTCAAGGCTACCCAAAGTTACTTCTCAAACCACAGATTAAACATATCATAAAATGAACACTTTTTCCTAAAAGAGTATTGTAGGCAATATAAAATTTATAATTCAATCTTCTAACATAAAATTTGACCATGAGTAAGCTTGGATTCAAGCTTTGTTAATTATGCACCTTCATGTTTATTTCTATTTAATGTATTTACTTCAGGTTACCCAGAGTTTATCTTCGGTAATCTTATCCTTATTTTGTAGGGAGTATTCCTATTCTTTTTGAAAACTTACTATGCACATTGAACATATTGTAATGTTTTGTCTTTTCAATTGTGAATTGTAACATTAGAATTTAACTGTGAAATTTTAGAAACTAATAAAGACAGTCGAAATATATAGATTTGTGAATGTAAAGCATGGCGTCTGATGTTTCTTGATATACTCACATTATTAAACAAATTACAAGCCATGTGCTTCAAATGTGGCTATACTACAGAGCAGATCACCTGATTAGATATCCTACATACAAAAAACCACATGACGGCTTCATTGAGGTCGTGCTTACTATTGTTCAGTTCTTCTGCATTCGTCTTCCTTATTATTGCACATTCTGCGGAAGTTTAGAAATCCGAGGAATATGAATGCAGACTCTGGTTTGGAACGAGAATCCTTTGTGATAAAGTAAACTTTTGCTTATGGTTCTCAAAAAAATCCAAAACTTTCACAAAACCAATCTAAACTTAATTGGACTTTTCCTCATCACTTAAACCATTCACAACAATCTTTCAAGGAACAAGGGTTAGTTTTTATTTTAATCATGTTCATATTATTACTGTCCAGGCTCATGAATTACATAGAGGTCTATTGATGTAAAATGAAACTTCATTTAGTCGTACTTATTTTGTATCCTACCTTGAATTCTGAGCTCAGACGAGCATGACTAGCGGTATAGATAGAGTAGTTGAAGGCCTGGAAACAGTCGGCGGTAACCGGTATCACAGGCTGCAGTAAGTCAGAGGCAGAGTGGTAACCCACTGCAGTGACGGGTGAAGGGTTGAGTTAGTCGAGGCCGCGCATGACTAGGCTCCATGGAGGAGCCCAGCGAAGCAACATCGAGCGGCTCAACATCATGCGCGTCTAACGAGCGAGCGCCCGGTGATCGTCTCGCTCGTTTCCTCTCGAAGCCTTCTGTCGAGAGGTGAGTTGCATCATTGGCCTGTCAGTGGGCGACGAGGAAGAAAGGCGAAGCCGGACGGAGATTGGAAGCAGAGAGAGGCGATTTCCATTCTTGCCGGGCAATTTTGTTTGCCGATCGAGGAGCGGCAGCCCGAGCGATGGGAGCCGCGTCGGTGAATAATGCCGTCGTCACCGTTCTGTCGCTCGTTGCGACAGGGTTGGCGTGCTGCCCCGATCCGGTCGCGAAGAAACTCCAGCTGACCTCGGGAGTCAGCGATATGTGGACTCTCACCACGCTGCTGCGATTTTTGCATTTGATTAGTTTTGCCACCGCCTTCGGCACGGCCTTGTGGGTTACCTTTATCGGCGGTATCATCATGTTCAAGTATGAGTCCGAACCTTTGTGCCATAAGTTATGTGTATGCTTGTGTAACTGTCGTTTGGCCAATCTCAAGCAAGTTCTCACGGGAGAGGACGAAAATTCCGCTTTTGGTCTCTCTTTGCCCTGCAACTACACCTTCCTTAGAGAGAGAGAGAGAGTATATTGCGGCCTTGCAATTGAGAAAAATGAGCAATTAATGCGTCTGGGGTTCTTTCCCAATTCCGAAGTCTGGAGAGGTTGAAAAGAAAATCTAAATACAGTGGTCTAAGTTTACATTCGATTTCTACCATCGTGGTATCAAAGATCGTTTTTATGCGTAGTGCGCACTAAGGCTATCTATGGAGTATGTTCTGTCTGTCCCTACGGTTCTGGATCAAGACATTGAAGAAACAAATGTGAAAGCGGTGGGGAATTGGGGTTTTTGTTCTAATGTGGTACAAATCAGGTTTAGTTATTCCTGAATTACCTCATTGGAGACTTTGATACTGCACTTGATCACAATGATCAGGTGGAAAGGCTGAGACTAGATACAAGAGAGCAGGAATATATACAGACCAACATTGCCCTATACACTTGAAAATGTTATAATTTTCGCGAGAAATTTATCTAAAAGAGAAGCTGCGGGGTAATATTTTGTAATAGCCGGATTACGACCCTTGAGATGAGGACCATGTTGTTTGTATGTTACTTCTGTAGAGTGACGAAATAGTCATCTCTGCAACGTGAGATAGAAACCAAGCTGCTTTGTAACATAATGCATCTGAAGGATGCTTGAGTTGCATTCAAATTACTCATGAAGTAACAGCCTCATTCATCGACACATGAGTAGTTACGATTTTTGTTATGGTCTTTCTTGCAGGCACCTTCCCAGGCATCAATTTGGAAACTTGCAAGCAAAGATGTTCCCAGCGTACTTTAGATTGACATCGACTTGCATGGCCACTTGCGTCGGTGTGATGGCTATACTACGTCCATGGTTCGTCTCAAGTATATGGGAGAAGGCTCAGTTTGTATCTCTAGGCGTGTCACTTTCTTTCACTCTTGCAAATTTGCTCGTGATGGAGCCAATTACCACTCAGGTACTTGAGTTCTTCTACTTCGTGTATTTCTGAAATTTACTAACTTTCCTACGCCACGATGTTACGTGTACAGTCTTCTGTGTGAAATTACAAGAGTTTTAGTTAAGATCGCTGGGTCATGAACGCCCAGTGAAAGTCGTGTGGATTTCATTTTGGGGCCTGTGCAGTTGTAACATTGTGTTTTGTGTGAGGATCTTCAGATTTTTGAAAGTCGTTCTCCTTACCTATGTTTGTGTACAGCTTATGCGGGAAAGGCATAAAGTGGAGAGAGAGGAAGGTATTGGTACAGAGCCAGGAGTCTCAAAGAAGGCTGAGATCGAGAAGGCTGGCCCCAAGTTGCAAGCGATAAACAAGAAATTTTTTGCTGCACATGGAATCTCCTCACTGCTTAATTTGTTCTCATTCTTGTCGCTTGTTGTACACGCTACCTACGTCTCTAGCAGACTTTTACTTTAGTTATGCGTAGAGATTAATATCGGAGTCTTCTATCACGATATTAAAGTAAATCTCTCAAGAAAGTTTCAAGACGTTAAGTTATTTAGTAAATTGTACATTTTTTACTTAATGTATTATGCCTGATTTGTAGTTGAGCACGTCGATATCTCCATGGTACGAATTCTTTGAACTGATGTTTCAATCATGGCAAACATTTCTATCACTCGAATACAATACGCAATGAATTCATCACGGCAGATATTATTTGCAAACCGGTGTGGTTCAGAGTTGGTAGTGGTGCGGAGTCAGGAACCAGTAACTTTTTCCGGAGTTAATCCGGTCTCATAACGCAAGGAAAATAATGAGAGTTATGTCTGGACAATCCTCATGCTATTCGCTCTTCCGGTTTGATGGGAAGAGCATGAGGATTGTCCAGACACATCTTTCACTGTTTCCTTGCACGACGAGATTCTCCCTTCAAAAGCTTCGCGTTATTACTTCATTACAGTATAGAATCGTTACAGTATAGAATCGTTGTGTCGTGGAACCCATTACAATGTTGAGTCCACGATCCCACGCACTCTTAACACGGATAAGTACCAACTTTGGACCAAATGCAGGTTCTATTTTGATGATGTGAAAGCAAATAGCTGTTTGTTGAAGAATACGCCTTCGCATGTGGCCTACTTTGCTGACTCGGACATTTACGCTTCACAATTCTTCTTTCTTCGGTAGGCTCTGCTCTCTTCTGTATGATATAATAGGCCACAGTACGAAAGTTGTCGCGTTGAAACCCACGGCACATCCGCTTCTTACGACCTTTCGTGCCAGTGCCTCTCACTCTTCGAGCCAGAGACACCACCAGAGGATTTAAAATCACTATGTCCTGCCATGAGGCGAGGTTCTAGACCGGTATACAAGCATATACAAGCATCCCCAAATTCTGGAATGCATGATTGGATTCCTGCCAGAGGTAAGCACAGGCGTCGAAAATATCTTACCACCGACCAGCCAGGTGCTTGCAACGTTCAAGATATTACCAATGTATACACAAGTTCCTGTGATTGAGCACCTATCTGAACGCCCTCTTAAGCCACCATGGAATGTTTTGACAAGTTCTGATGGAGTGCTCAGGCCAGAAGTTACACAGGAACCAACTTTTGCTCCCAATGGCCAGGTGACAGGGATCCCGCAGCATTTTCGACGTGAACCGCCAGGTGGGAGGAATATTAAAATGCCTTACAGTCCCCAGTCAAAACCGGGCAGTATTCCCTATCTTTTAACATTTCCCTCGACCAGCTGTTGCTCTCGTTGTCTGCCCCAGGGAGTGTGAATGTCGCTCTTATTCGCTAATTCTGAACCCCTTCCTGGAACTGACCCTGCAGCAGTGAGAAGATCCCTACTTTCTCACTGTGGCCATCATGTTTCCTGAGGGTCACGTGTATGGTAGAGCCTGGAAGCATTCATTCATGCATCAATCTCAATCGGTGACGGTGCACTCCATTTTTCTCGTCGCCCAGATTACATTCGACTGCATCGTGCGAACATCAACAGACGAAACAAAGGCAGAAAAGCCGGAACCACGGAGTGCTGGCTGGTTATAAAACAGAATTGGAACGATGGCTGCTTGCATTTTAGGCCCAGGGGTTTCAAGGATCGTGCCGTTGGCAACGAGTTTGAGGTTGGACAAGTTAGGACCGAGGAGGACCACTTTCGCTCGTTGCTGTGGGGAAGAAATGGGTGAGCCTGCGGAGAATTCCAAGAAAGTGGAAGTTTCTCGAGAGGAGTCGTCACAGAGTCAGGACAAGCAGTCGGCGCCAGTTGCAGTGAAAATCACATCCGATGCTATCAATCTCCAACTGGAAAGTATGAACCCGAGCCATGAGACAGATGAGCAGAAATATAGCGTTCACAATGTCTACGCTCTCTACAGACCTTCACACAAGCCGCCGACCGAAGCCGTCGACAGTGTGGGACCCGTGTCGGACCCTGCTGCTGCTTTTGACACGTTTTGCAGATCTGAAACTCAGTGGAACGAGCACGAAGTTCGTCGCCGGAAGCATTATCTTCCTGAAGACGTGACAGAGTTGATACCCTCCACTTCTATACTCCATTGTGCGCCATTCTGTGTCGTTTGATCTGTCTCCCCTTGTTAGGAAGTCACCTCTTCTAGAGATCCGTATTCTGTATTGGAGATTACGCCTGAATCCGAGGTATCACAACCAGACCTCTTCGATACTGTAGGAAACTGATTAATAGAGCAAAAACGATGAAAGACCCTCTTTGGTCACCCGTGATCTTATACTGTAGATGTCAAATTTGTCGGTCTTCTATTTGGACCTCCTGAATGCTCTGCCACTTGCTTCCGCGTGTGCATCCTACTACTGTTGGATGGATCGTCGTGGAGAACGCGACTGGAAGGTTCTTGACTAAGGGTGCAAAGTTAGTCTCAGATTCTAATTGCCAATTGATTGTTTCCCTGCAGGAAAAAATCGGAGTAGCAGCTGCGAAATTGTTGCAGGAAGTTTGCTCTGACTGATCTTTTTACATTGATACTTTTCCCATGTGGTCAAACCTGATCGAAGAGCTCGACTAGCGCAGCTAGATCTCACCTCTACTATCAAGTCTTGTGAGCACTCCTTTGGTGATACGACCCTGTTGGATGTAAAGCAGGCTTGTCGTGGAGTTTTGACCTTCGTCGCAAATTGCAGACTGCAGTTGACAGTCAATGAAGCACACGTTTTTCTGTCACCGGACATTGCCAATCCCACCAGCTTTTTATATTGGCTTTCACCTTCTTGGGGTGTTCACAGCATGTTTTCCCTCCATTGCGAAGTTCTTCAGATTGAGAATGCATCAATTTCTGTGGGTCGCATCTCTATTTAGTAAAACTGTGAGGTGGTTCAACGAAATGGGTCGAAATTTCTTTTCACCTCCACTGCGGTATCAATTGTGTATAAGTTGAGCAAGTATTTTTTTGAATACCAAACAATTGTCACCCGATGTTTGGCCCCACACGGATATTCACATGGAAATGCGGAGGGTCGAACGTTTAAAGCGATGATTTCCCTCTACAGTATTCTTATTTTAAGTACAATGCCCTATATTATATAGGGCATTGTACTGAAAACTGAAATGTACTGGACCCTAACCACATCCATTACATATAGGCTAAGTGTCCAGTACATTTCAATTCATGGAACGAACCGTTCTAATGTCAAGCACTGTTTGCTCATTTTCCCTACTGAAGCGTTAGTAGAAAATTATCAGATAATGTATATAATGCAACAAGTGTATTCGTTAGCTTCGTAAGTTTGGATACTTTTAGTTATTGAACTACTAATAAGTGTGTAAATCTTGTCAATTTTGATTACAAACCTCAAGATTTCGATCAGATAAGCTAAATTATTTGCAACACAAAACGCTCGTCCAAGTGTGTTCTTGTTCATTGTTTTACTTTATACTCATGTGCGGACATGTGTAAAAGTCTGTCAATTTATTCACATTCTTTAACTTCTTTAACTTCAATTTGTTGTTTGTCATATACAATTTCCTTTAACTCATCATAAAAATCATCATATTGTACCCATCAATAGGCTTGTGTAGATTATGCACATGACTAAAGTGTCAAATCTCAAGTAAATCCCATATAAGATGAGGCATGATTAGTCATAATTGCTAAAAAGATTGAAAACTCTACTATAATAATATTTTATTGCTAAATGATGTGCTAAAGTTCATATTTTTTGCATTGGAAAAATCATATAGAAAAAAAATCAGCAAATGATACGTTGAATGCGTGGTTTTGTAATTTCAACATCAAAAAGTTGATCTCGAATGGCACTATATTGGATTATGGCGAAACTAGATCTCCAAAGAAGTCAACTATATGATTAAAGTGGCCCAAAAATCAAAATAGTACCCTTGCATCGTCAAACAAATACAAGTGATTGCATGAATAAATGGCTTCATGACATGATGAATCATTCTTGTACATGACGCATAACTATGCAAATTGTTGATATGAAAGAAAAAACAACTAGGGTTGAATCGAGACTTATGTTGGATAATAAAGTAGTCGATATCACGATGTTGTAAGGTTCACTAGTTTAAAATGCTACACGATTGGAAAGTTGAAGTCGTTGTTGGAGCCATGTTAATCTCACATTGCGGCACAATCCATAGATCCATCGACGATGTCAAAAATAACAAACGCAACTTTACAAACAGATAACAGCAAAGTTGGTTCAATAAGATTGTTTATCCATGTTGATATCACATTGCAACACAATTCATTCATCTGTCGATAATGTCAAAAATAACCAATGCAACTTTATATATAGATAATAGCAGAGTTGGTTCAATGAGACAGTCGATTGTCATCAAAGTCAAGATCTTCACTGAAGCATATGATGTCAATGTAGATTGCCAAACAATTTTTGTGAATGACATGAATGGAGTACAGATAGTCAACATCGAAGTTGAGATTAACAGATGATGAACATTAATTCAACAATCAATTATTGAATCGTTTTTTGTTTGTTGGCTGATTGTTAGGTAATGATCTTGGAGACTTATCACTCTTATATGTATTTAACTCATGATGTTTCTTGTGACAACACTTAGAATCCATCAGAATTCATTCTTATGTTAAGATGCACGACGAGAAATAGTTAAGTAGTGGCATTGATCTTGTGGCAACATTCATTCAACTAGTTTGTGCACTGTTGTGCCATTGAGTTGCAAATATCTTGAGACAAATTGATTATAACTTGAAAATAAGATTCAACTTTCGTCGCAAGTGCAAGAACATGAATACTAATGTCACATATCATCATGTCTCTTTATATAGGGCGGATTTCTTATGTTTCGTATCACAACAAAATAAGGAATATTTTCAAAACAAAATACGGAACTTGACAGAAATCTGTCATGTTTTCTTCAATAAACTTTGAATTGGACGACTGGGAAATATACCTTCAAGAGAAATAGTAGTTATTTTTTATCTATGAATGACTTTTTCCCATCTCAAAACTGAGAAGTCACTTTACTCTGTTGCAGTATTAGGAAATGAACAAGCTAATACTACTACAAACTCCATAAGTTGAGGAAACCTATTTTTAATATTTGAAGTACTCCAAGCTTTGCTAAAATCAGACTGCTCAGTCTACCTATTCAAGGCATTCCAAAGATGTTGTTCTTTGTTTACAATAACCAAAAGCTCCTTGTGTTTTTCCACTATTTTATCTATGTCCTCTTGTTCCTATGAAAGTTTGAAACGATCTTGATATTTTAGAACCAATTGAACAACTTCTCTCGTCTTCAGAGCTACAAGTTCATGAAGCAAGCAAGGTGGCAAAATACTAGAAGTTTCCTGGTTCAACTCATCACGTGTAGCTTCTACCTTGCTCAGATTACAAACTGCTTCCAAAAACAAGTCGCAAACTGCATGCAACACTTCAATTTTTGACTCTGTGTCAAGCTCTGCCAATGATTGGGTAACAAACAAACCATGATATTTGATTAATCCAATCAGATTGGCATGACTAACTTGCCATCTTTCCAAGGTAACGATGTCAAACGCAGAAGATGAGTTTAACTCAATCCCAACTCGCTCTACACATGCAAAACGTTGTAAGTTAGCTAGCAAATCTTGGAGAGCTGACTTTTGCTATTGCAAAGTGGTTCTTTTTCCTTGTAAACCTTGCACACATTCGCTCACATGGCCTGAAAGTTTGCTTACAACTACAACCAAAATACACCAAGATAATGAAGTCATGTCGCTAACCCTCTGAGAAGCATCACTCTGTTATAAATAAACAATGATTTCAGATCTTCTTTTGATCAAAAAACGAGATACACATGACATAGAGTTCCAACGAGTAGCCGATAAATTTGGACAAATAGCTTGCATTTCATCTATCAAATTTTCTGACGTCGTAAAACAGAAATCAGTGAGGCCAGAGTCTTATGAAATCCACCACTAGCGTTTTTATAAATCTTTTGCATCACAATATCTATCTAATGCAACAAACACCATACATGAATGAAATATGGTCTAACCACCTCCTAAATACGTGTCATAACTTCAGACTAATTACTTGTCATATTTGTAGCACCATCAGCTGAACAATCTATTAGATTGTTTATCCTTAAGGAACAAGTTGCATCAAACAACTTGCAAAACATCTCTAACATAGTCGATCTTGTATATCTACCAACAAAAGAAAGTGTGAGAAGGTGAAGATTTTCGATAGAAGAATTTTGATAAAATCGAATTTGAACATGAATTCAAGAAACTCCTTGTAGGTCACAAGAGTCATAAAAGGCCACAGAAAAGGTCCAGGCGGAGAGGAGTATCTGAGCGATATTTTTGATGAATATGGCGCATGGGGTTCTAACATAAGAAGCAACCAGATATTCGCTACAAAATCCAAGTTTAGTAATATCACATATCTCTCTCGCATCTTGAACTGCATCAGCAGCTATTGAGAAAGACATTCCTTGTGCAACAAAACGAATTACCGGCTCAAACTGTTTTTTCTGGCTAATTTGAATACAATAATTGCCATCTTCAATCAGTTTAAAGAGTGATGTTGCATTTGCTCGTTTTCAAATCATTTTCATTTTAGAGCATGTATCCTATAATCACGTCAACAATTGAATCTTTGATTATAAAAGTACTCATGGCGAACTGAATTTCCATGAAATGACAAATTGTAACCATCTTTAGTTAGTTAGAACTAAAGTAGAGGTTACTCTAAATATTGATGTAGATACTTTAATGTGCACTAGTCATAGCTGCCACGTCAGCGATCCGCGCACTTGGTAGGTACAGAGTGGATGTGTTAGTTGACAGTGCCACGTAAGCAATCCGTGTGCTCGTAGGTAAGGATTGAGTGTGTTAGTTAGTGTGTTAGTTGGGTGCGCCACGTCAGCGATCCGTGTGCTTGTTAGGGTTATCCGCCACGTCATCCATCCACTAGGAGTGGGATGGATGGTGGGGATTAGATCTTATCACCTTGTACTTGTTGGTGAGAGCTATATAAGGGTGAGGAGAACCATTGTTGGTATCTCTCATCTTCAGAGTTTACGTTTCTATCTTCGAGTGAACTTCTCTCTAAACCCTAGTGTTACAATGGTATCAGAGCGACCTTGCTCTTTCCTTGAGTGTGGATTACCCCTCATGGAATAGCAAGTGAGTGATGATGGAGTGTAGTCTTGAGAGTGTATAGAGGCTGGCAGAGGTCATTCATCTGCATGTAGAGAGAGGTGGAAGGGGGAAATTGTGCTTTTGCAGATATGGACGGGATTGACAGGAATCCAGTACCGCACTGGCCAATTCCTAACCTATTCGATATTCACCTTCGTTGCATGGAGAAACATCATTTTCGGATGTACCTTGTGGCTTGTTGGGGTGCAGATTTTATGACTAGAGTGATGGAGTCAAGAGTGCCACTGATTTTTCCAATAGTTACTTATGGAGAGACTTGGGATTGTACTATATACATTCTATACTGATTGTTTCATGGATTTGAATCGCGAACCACCTATGCCGGTTCGATTCAGCACTTATGTAGAGATTAGAACAGTATATAGACAGAAGAGGATATGGAGAGATTTTCTTGTTAGGAATTATGGAGAGGAATACTATAGAGCTGTGATAGAGTCACCTGCACCTTTTGTGACTCCTTTGTTGAGAGGTCACATAGTGATTATACTCACTTTGTATTAGAGGGAGTGTGAGAAAGCATGGGAACATCAATTGATATGGGTGAGGTTCTCAATGCAATCATGGCGGAGATGAAGGAGTTGAGAAAAGCGATAGTAGATGGGCATACCAAGCAGCAAGCCATGGAAGATAAAATCTTCGCATTAGAGAGTGAGAAAGTAGAGAGAGAGAGAGTTGGAGAGATGGAAGTTGAACCTCAAGTTCAATCTTCCCAAATTCAGCCAGAACCAACT